GATTTGAAGATATCAAAACATAAAAACCTGGGGCTATTTGATTGAATTTCCAATGCTTTTATGGAAAATTTCATTGTTCAAACATTCGAAAATTGCATTTCACTCATTTTGAAGAAATTTTCCAGATGTTAATTACTTCCTAAAGGAAATTGGTATTGTCACTAAAATTGTTAAACTTATTTGTCCCAAAAGCCAGTGTTAGTCTCATTGTTTATGTTTCATGTTTCTGCTTTCTGCAAGTGATGGAATGACTCACCATAGAGTTCAGCAGTCAAATGTGTTTCCCTATCTCCATATTCTACTTTGCACTTTATATGCATAAATATATTTATCGTTTCATTTGTTTCTTGAAGCGCTAGTGAATGTTAGCTCTTAAATGCCAAGCTTCCAGCCTGATTAATGTTTTCTTTAGCTTTGAATTTGCTAATTCTGTCCCATTTTTTCATATTTCAGGGAGCTACAATTGTAGATCAACCCATATGCATAATACGCTGGGGGACAAATGAAGATGAATCTCACACTTGGGGCAGTCCATGGAACTTTGAAGAGAATTCTGGCTCAACGGTATCAGTCCATTAACCAATAAGCTGACACTAATTATTAATAGATCTTCTTGATTTTGAGCAATTTACATTTGTGTTTGAAGAATTTAACAGGAAGTCAAAGAAATCTGTTCTGTAATCTCTTACTTTTAAATTCACAATTTGCTCATATACAATGATTTACTAACTTGAAAGTAATTCTGGAGAAGTTCTCAGTATTATTCCGGTCAATGATTTTGCAACTTTTCTTGGATTATTAGTAGGGTTGCAGATCAGATTAGTCCTGTACTCCAGGTGCATTTTGTTCTCAATATTCCGTTTTCCCAATTTAGTTTACATTAACTATGTTTCTTTCCATTTAATTCTTACAATCACCTTTTCTGGTTGATTTGCTTCAATTGGTCCTCCAAGTTAGAAAACTTCAGAAGGATCATGTTGGTGATTATGAACATAGAACCCTGCAGAAGCAGTGAATAATTTTGATTGTCACTTGATTTTGTTGATTCTATTAGCTAACTTATGCATAACTTTAGCAGGTCACTCATATGGATCAATACGTTTCTACTCCGGGAGAAGCAATAACAGTTGCTCAGGAAGTTGTCAAAACAATTCTGGCTAAGGGATATGTTCTGAGCAAAGATGCACTAGTCAAGGCGAAAGCCATGGACGAGTCCTATGGACTTTCTGCTAAGGCTGCAGCCAAGGTTGTTGAACTTGGCAACAGAATTGGAATCAATGATAAGATTTCTGCTGGTGTCAAAGCTGTAAAATCTGTTGATGAGCAGTATCATGTTGCAGAAATCACCAAAACAGCTGCGTCAGTTACTGGAAATGCAGCTGTATCTGCCGCGACTTTTACTGGGAGAACAGCTAAGGCAGCTGGTACTGCAGTAGTCAATAGCAGCTACTTTGCCACGGGTGCTCTTTGGGTTTCTGGAGTCTTAGAACGCGCAGCTAAAGCTGCAGCTGATTTAGCTACTCATGATACTAAATAAGTAGAAAAATTTTAGTTGAAATAAACAACTTTTTGCAATGTTTTTAGCCCATCTGATTGATCGCGAATAAAAATTCAATTAAACTGTCTTATGTTGAATGCCTGCCTACTTCAAAGGCTGTTTCATTATGGTTTGCAAGACCTTTAATACATCTCAAGGTCTTAGTAACCTATGATCATAACATAAGATCCTATAAAATATCTCAGAGGGAACGAAAAGTATGATTGGCGGGGACCTGATCTTAAGATGATAAGGATAACGAAGAGGCTAGTGCCTTCCCAAATCTTTGTAATAGGTACATTGTCTGAACTTGCATGTGTTATATGAGATCATCAATTAAAATTTTATTGATTAAGGTCCAGAGACCCTTAATGGCTTGACATAAGTCCTTTTCAGTTCATTTGGCTCCGGCAGATGTGCCATTGCATGATACAATCACTGATTTTTATTGCTTTTTCGAATCAATTTACGCTGGAATGCTGGTCAGTCTTTTGTTTCTATCAGTTCAACTGGAATGTGAACATGGACCACAGTCTAATTCTCCATGACCAGTGATGCAAAATGACCATTTCTAACTGGTCCTGCATTGAGGCTAAGTAGCCTGTGAGACAATTGACAGGTCTGACAAGGCGAGCGCACTAAATAAAAGGCGAAGACAATTGACTCCTGGAATTTTCTGGAAAGCAAAACATGCAATTCAATTTCAACATCGGTTTACTTTCTAGTAGTTTTTGTGACCATTGTCATATGTTTACACTATAAAGCAATGGCTAAAGAGGTTGTTGCTTTCATATTTAATTAGTCAGCTGAAAATTTTTACTCATTCAATTAAGTTACTCGTCAACTAACCCTAATTTTCTTAATAAATTTGCCTTTTCTTGCCTGCCATTAATGTTCAATTCAACAACCAGTGCCCCATCTGACCTTTTAAGAAGTTACAAATCTCCATTAAAATCTTTGCATAAGCCTCAGATTTTGACACTTGGAAAATTAAAAATGATAAAGAATAATCCATTACCTTCAAGCTCCATTTTCTAATGTTTGAGTGAACAAAACCAGACAAAAAAAATAATCCCAGAAACAATATTCGAAGAAAAAGCATAACCTAAGCTGTCATGTTGCTTTACCACTTGTGAGGTATCCAAATTCCTGAAATTTTCTTGCCTATATTAAGTGGATCATGCATATCTGAAAGCATAATCCAGCATCATGGGCTCACATTTTTTTTTCCTTCCTGAAATTGCTTTACAATGAGACAAGCAGAAACCATATTAAGAATTGATCCTAATCCATTTAACAAGTGGTGACTGGATTAAGATGGTAGCCTGGTACCAAAAGTTATGCAACATCTAGCTGTTGCCATTTCCCTCAAAATAATGAAAACTGTTTGTACAACATTTATGGCACATGTACCTGAAATAAAGACTTTTGTTCACTTCTTAAATTTGCTTTTCCAAAATGCAAACTAATTGAGTGTCATCCACCCTAGTCAAGTGAAAATGACTTTGATTAGACGGGCAAGTGTCATTTAGCCTGTTGTGATTTTCTGGGTTAAGGGCCCTTGTAAATTTAAATGGATTGACAGAATTTGAGATGGGAAATTAGTAGGTATTGAAGAGATATCAGAGAAATGTGTCTACTTCTTTGGCACATTTTAGTTTGTGGTTATTTTTGTGTCCTTTGGTGGGTGGCTTGGTACCTTTTAGATATTAGCTAGGCTTGACTATGAAATTCTTTTTAGTGCCTAATGTAACGAATCTTATATCGTAAGCGTATTGGAGAAGTCTTAGACTTATAAATGGGTTGAGTCCTTCCACCTAATAGGTTAGCCTTTTGGGTGTGAAACTCCCAACCTATGACAAGTGGTATTAGAGCAGACCCGGTTCATCTTTCGATTTCTCGCTAAACACCCACGCAGGCGCGTCCACATGTGATTATGGGTCCACATGAGAATGAGGTGGACGAGTAGGCAAGGGGACCCCATCTATGACAAAGACATCATAGGATTGGGTAGGGAAAAATATAACGAATCCCAGATCGAAAGCATATTGGGGAAGTCCTGGGCTTATAAATGGGCTGAGTCCCTCTACTTAATAGGTTAGTCTTTTGGGTGTGAAACTCCCAGCCCGTGACACTAAAAGCTATTGATTATACAACCCTTTTTTCTAAACTTTACAAAAGTGTTTTGGAAAAACTGTTTTACACAACATAAATGAGAAAGTTTTCTTTACTTTTAACTTAAAAACGTATGACAATTTAATACTAACTTTAAGTTAATGTGACCTCAATTTAACAAGCAAAAATCTTATCTTAATCCTAATGTCGCAGTTTCTTGGTCTTGAAGTGAGGCAACCATTAAATAACCTTGCCGTCTATTAATAGCTAAGTCTATATAATTAATGCCCTGTTAGTTTTTTGTGTTGCTTTCAAAAGAAATGGTCTTTTTTGTTGAAACTTCCGAGAAGCTTTGAGGTTAACCACTGCCTGGATTATTTGTTTTTGTTTAGTGCTTCAGTCCAAAGAATTAGCAAGTTTGACCTTGTCATCCCTCTAGAAAAACATTCTTGTTTACACAGAGCATATCATCTATACGTTTGTCTAATAATATATAATAGAATATATACTCTCTCCAATAAGTACTCAAATAACGTAGTACGTCTTTATTATTAAAATTTTTTCCTTCTGACTTAAGGGCACCAGCAACAACCCAGTTAGCCATGGCTGACCCATCTGCAGATTTCACCTAACTTGCTTGGCAGATTAGTTATTTGTCACTTGTTTTATGAGGATGAATAAAAATTTATTTATATTAAGAAGAACTGCTCGAGGAATTAGTCTATTAAAAACATAGATTAGTCGGTCTCGCACCGCTACCAAAATGATTGAGCTTAACCACTTTCCTGTACTATTTTAATCACCTAAACCATTTCAATACTTTTTAATTGAATCCCCCTTCTTTTAGGCAATTAACAATTGATTTTGAAAAAGTCTATATGAAATTTGATACTTTGTGCCCCCTTGCAAGAAGGAGCCTTCTTCACCTCCCCCCTAAACTGCAAAAGAAAGCAACCTCACAGAATATATGAAAGTTTGTAGGGTCATTTTTATGCAGATTAGGAGATACGGATCTTCACAGACATGTCTATTTCGAACTCGTTACATTTTTGGTGGGGGTAGAAAGTCACCTTGTACCAAATTTGTTATATGTAGTTTTACCAGAATACAGCAATTAGTTTTAGTCTTTTGTAACCTTAAACATGGTGTTTTGAGTTTTTGGGAGAAGAATGGCAGCAGGATAAAAAGTTCTGAACAAGTATGAATGTGATTTCCAGTAATAATGATAAAAGAAATGGGCAACTTTTGCAGCTTCTTGTATGGTCTAAATTTCTTCAAGGAAAGTGAAAAGTGTACAAGCTTCTTGTTTTTTGTTCTGAATATATGATTTAAAGTATACAGCCATCAATACACATGACTAGAACACATTATTCACCTGTTTTCTCTATTGCAGGCTGTGTTTTATATGAATCTCTCCTTCTTCAAACATATCAAAAACCCCTCACTGTACAACAAACGACTCAAAATGAAGAATCACAAGACCAAAAATTCGAAAAAAAAAAAAAAAAACTTGTGCTTAATTATGAGTTTTAACTAATAGCAACACATGGGACACCTTGTTAGTCCATTTTCATTACAATCAGGACAACGTTGGAACCCAAATTCACTTTCTTCATCTTCCCATGGTTCTTGATCATCATCTTCTTCTTCTTCTTCTTCTTCTTCTTCCTTTTCATAGTATATTTTACAACTCCCTGAACATGTTTCACAAGGCACAAATCTTACATCCCCACAAGCATCACAAGTTACTCCATTAACTCCACCAAATCCATCCACTTTTTCACACCCTTCAAGCATCTTCTCCAGTTGCCCTTCTTCGTGCAATCGCCTTATCTCTTCAGCTCCTCCAATGTACTTTTTCCCCAGAAATACTCTTGGCAAGCTGCCTCCTGTAATCCCATTTCCTAAAAGCTCTTTTAGCTCCTCCTTAAAGCCTGAATGCATTGAAACATCTCTCTCATCAACACGAATGCCTAAGCTTTTTAATACAACCCTCACATGGCAACAATCCTCATATGTCTTCCGAACTCCTCTCAGGCTTGTGAAGTACACCACAACTTTTTGTTTTCCAAATTTTTTATCTGAAACTACCACATTTCCTGCCTTCTTGCCTTCCAAGGAATCTAATAACAACTCATTGCCGGCCACGGCCGGTTGCTGCTTTTCATTTTCATTTTCATTTTCATTTTCATTCTCCAATTGCTGCCTGAGATGAAACGGGTGCTCTGGAGATAGCTCGTGGAAAGATTTCTTGAACGTTTGAATAACTTCAGGATCTAATACTGAAACCAAATTGGAATTTTTATCATCATCCCCATCTGCCATTTGGTACCACAAAGTCTTTAGTGAGACCGTGGCATTACTTTCAGAGAGTTTAGACTTTGGAACAGGATGATCATCAAGAGGTACCACAGCATTGGAATTCAAATTCTTGACAACATCAAAAGAAAAACTCCGAATGTGATTAGGTGATCTCATTAATGGACTAACATCTTCAAGTCCCTCCATCAACTCCCAAGTATTGATAGTCTCAGGCTCTCCAGGAGGAGTTCTGGTAGGAGTTTTAGGCACAACTTTTGGGATCTTCTCTTCAATCATGCTGGACCAAACCTTTGCCTCAACCAACCCCATTGAAAAATCCTTGGTGCTTTTGCTCTTATCATCATTCGCACCACCACCACGACCACCAACATCAGGATGATCACCACCGTTGATTTCAACATTATGATTGTTGTTGTTGACATTGTTTTGATTGTTCTTGTTGAAGTCCAGCTTCAAAGAGCCCAAAGTGGTGGACGTGAGCGCCACCACATGGTAGCTATCACCTTTGCCTTGTGGCGGATGATGCACGTGCATTGAATGGCTTCTCGGCACCGGCACGTACGGACTCTGGCAGTGCCGGCACCTCTTGTTTTGCTTGGAACTCGCACAACCCATTACAGAAAAAAGGAAGGTTGCAATTAAAGATGATAAATAAAAAAACAAAAGAAATTTGAAGAAAATGGTCCAAAAAAATCAAATAAATACAGGATTTTTATATGGGAACTTGAACCATTTCGTGGATAGATTAACAGAACATTCTTGAATGAATGAGCTGGATTGCAGTTTGTGATAAAAGATTCAACAAATAATAACAAAAACAATTAAAATTAAGAAACCATTCAACTCAGGCTTGGAAACTTCGTTTTCTGGGTGGATCTTAAAAGCTATCTTTATTTCTCAAAACGTACAAACAATAATGTGAGCTCTGAATCCAAGGCAGAAGCATTAAAACTGAGAGCAACCCAGTTGCCAGAAATGGCCCTTTTAATAACAAGAACAAAACTTTGAGAGAAAGATCTTGAAACAACCGTGAAATGATTTTCAGAAAAAAAAGAAAAAGAAATATGAAACAGGGGAGAGACAGAAGATATCTGTGAATACGGAAGAAGAAGAAGAATTGTTTCCAAAGTCAAAGATGGAGAAGAAAGACCAAATTTATAAAGGACTGAGTGATCCCACCATGATCTTCATCATCATGAACAGAGGTTTGTTTCTCCCTCTAAGATTTTTGTTAGAGAGAGAAACAGCAGCAGGTTTCAAGTTTTTCCAAGCTCAAACTCAGAGCCAGCTCCTTTGATGGCAATATTTCATAGTTATATTGAAGCGCGTCGGTGCCTTTTCTTTTAATAATAAATAAAAAATTTAATTTCTAAAAATAAATCCTGAAAATTAAAATAAAGATTGTAAAATCGTTAAAAAAAAAAGGGAAAAAAATGGAAAATTTTATTTTCGAAATAGAAGGAAGAAAGACTTGTTTAAATGGATAATTAAATGCGGGAATTATTGCTTGAATGGCTCCTTTAATGAAAGTCAATTTTTATTTAATTTATTCATTTATTTTTAGCTTAATAAAAATGGTGATAGACTAATTAATGATAGTGGTCTCCGCTATTGTCTCGCCTGGCCGTGTGGAGCCGGCATTTTGTTGGCCTTCTCTTTCCTCATTGGCTCGTGTTTTATGTGTTCTTCTAAGGCGCGTGGTGATAGCTATTTTACAAATTTATTTTTTATTGATTTATATAATAATAATAATTAAAAAAAAGAAAAATAATAATTATGAAAAACTTCAAATAATGCTTAATGTGATACATTATATATGGAATTCGAGACTAAGAGGAATGTATAAACCAAATTTTTCATAGATTTGATCACGGTTTACTGTTATAATTTCTTTCGAAATAAAGAAAAAGAAGAATAAAAAAAAAAGACGGTGATTTCCATTGTTTTAATTTTTTTTTTTCAGTTTTTTAATTGAATTTTGAGGATACGATCTAAGAAGACTCATATATTACAAAAAAAAAAAAAAAAAAAAGTGAATAAATAGAGGCATCAAATTAAATAAATGGGTAACTTAATTTGTGATATGTTGGTAAAGATTATATGGGATTCATTATGAAAATTAACAATAAATTTAAGGAATTATTATTTTTAATTTCATTTATTTAGTAATTTTGGGCAGCATTAAAACCCAAAACGTAGAAAAAAGTTTAATTTTGTTTAAGGGATAATTAAATTGTATTTAATGGAAGTCCCATAGGAGAAAGGTGATATAATTAATTAATTAATACAACAATCAAATTTAGACTCTCTCTCTCTCTTTGCTCGTGTGTACTCAAAGAAGAGTTGTCTTCAAGTTACGTTATTTCACCAAGAATTTTTTTATCTCAATTATAAATCATTGTCTATATTATAAAAAATAACCCAATAATTATATCTATATATTAATATATAGCATAATTCCATTATTTAATGTACACATAAAATAAGATTTTATCCATTTTATTAAAATAATCTAAAAGAATAAATCATAGGATTGATTTGATCATGTTGAATTTGGGATAAAGATTTAAATAACTCTAGTTCATCATAATTCATAAATGGAAAATGCAAGAAAAAAAAACCAAGAAATTTCTCAAATATGATGCAAAATAAACCTTGCTCTATGTTGATCAGAGATTTTTTTTTTTTTTTTTTTTTATATTCAAGGATGCTCGAATCAATTTACGCGTATCTCAATTAATTTTTTGAAGTCTTAAAGTTAACGCTCAAGTAAATTCACAATAGCTATCATTTATTAATGGTTATAGGGATTTGAATTCAAGACCTTTTAAATAATATATTCAAGAGTCACAGATGAACCTCAGACTTTTTTTTATAAAAAATATGAATCGAAATTTGAAGAAGGGGAAGGAAAAAAAGTTCTCGACCTGCAAAATAGAGAAGAATTTATTCAAATACATCGACCCAACTTTTAAAATATGAAATAAATTATACTTTTTTGATAAAATTTATTTGATTATACAAATAATATGAGACATTAAAAACTATATATATTGTCTTTAAACATGTTTAATATATTTTCTTATGAGCAAATTCAATTAAAGTTACCAAGTTGTAATTTTACAGCAAGAAAATTTGGTGAAGCAATTAATCTATTTATCGGGATTGGGTTGAGCTAATTATTATCACATGTGCAAGTAAAAAAATATAATAATAATAGAATTGAAGGCATAAAAATCCACGTGATGGCACGTGGAATTTTCGATCTTTATAGTGTAGAACCTTACTTCATTAATAATGGCTCAACTGTAAAGCCAGGTACGGCAACCCAATATCACCCTCATAAAGCCGTAGAGCATAATAAGATTAATTCTTTAATTAATTCCATGTATGTGTTTAACCCATCCATCATTAATTTCTATGAATCATGAACCCTAACTTTAGTGAAAAGTAAAATCATTTATCATAATTGGGTTTGCAATCATGGTGTTTGCTACCATTGTTATTATTGAATTCAAGTTGAAAGAGTATACTTCACAATCAAATTAATGTTTAATTTAAAAATCATATCTATTTTAATCTTTTACTAGTAGTATATATTAATGGTAGCGTATGTTTTCCGACGCAAAAAGCTACGTAGGAATAGGTTGTTTACTTCGACGTCGTAGCTGCACTAGAATTAAGAAATCATATTATGACATATATAATAAGTTAGAACATTATAAAACCAAGAATATAGATTACTAATGCAATCTTGACATCTGTTTGTCTATGAACATCGACATTGTGGTAGCATTATGTTAGTGCTTTGTATCATTTTGTTGATGTATCTGTTGGATATGGTTTATACTTTTTTTAGTTTTGACGGATTATCAATTTACGTCGACTCAATCGAGAGAGATCGGCTAAGCCCAAATGAGGTTAGGTTTTCTATTATATGCATTCTGTAATAGTGAGAAACCAAGAGTGAACTATCGTCATTTACAATGTATTTGTTGCAGGTTTCTAATACTCAATAAAAAATCTCTATTAGAATGGTGGACATAATTCCTATATTGTAATGAAGCAGGGTAAATCATGTGTTCTCTTTACTTTTCTGTTTTCTTTGCCGTGTGTTTTTCATTGTGGATTCAACAACATCTGGCCATGTTAAAGATATTTGTATACTGTTTTTCAACTGGGTAGGAAAACATTGTATTTCAGTTGCTTAATATAAGCATGGTGTATTGGTGTATAATTTATATAACGAAAATGATAGAGCCACCGAAGGTTGCACATCGAATTTGTGCACCAAATGACGTGACAAAATCTTGATCGTTGATTCATTATAACTGATAATAAATTAACGGTCAAGATTTTGCCACGTTATTTAGTGCACAAATTCGGTGCACAACCTTAAGTGGCTGTATCTTTATATAAACGCCTTCGGTTGAAATGGGTTGAATTGTTTAACATCAATAAGGTGTTTTTATTTCATTAATATTATTCATAAGATGATTATGGACATGATCTTGATTAATAAACTTGGATTAATATGATCTTAATCTACTCCAATTTAATATCATTATATGCTCCTTATTACATGCACGCAGTGAATAATATTGCATGCGGCTTCATGCAACGTGCTTGTCACTTCCATTTAACCCATTAATTATGTGCATAAAAAAAACCTTATAATATAATATATAGAATCAAATAATTTATTATTCATTAATTAAGAGTATCTGACCCTTTATTTAGGGTTTAAGTCATTGAAATGCGTGAGTTAGTGGTTTCTTGGATGGAATGTTTGTTCTTCATGGCTTCCACTAACTAAGTATATATATAATATTTTCAGATAATTTGCTTCCTTCAAAAGTGCTTTTTGGGGAAGTTGTTTTTTTTTTTTATGTTGGGATCCAACATTTCGGCTCTCATATATTATATCCGACGGTCCAAGTGCTCTAGTCTATCTGATTTTTGAGATGATGATAATGAATTTATTAAGCAACTTGACATACCTGCTCACAAACCCAGAAACCAAAAGCACTTCTCAATTAATAAATTTTCATATATATATAAAAGCACTTTTGGAAAAAGCCGTTTGAGCTTCTTCTTATATTTTCCTCGTTTATCATAGATGATTTTTGTGGTGCTTTTTGAGACATGATAAAGATTTACAATGATATAGAAAATGTTCTTAAACTTTTTTTTTTCTTTTTTAATTACTAAAGTGTTCGAGTTAGTTTATATATACCTCGATTAATTCATGACGGAGTTATCCCGCAGCAAATCGCCGCCATAACCTCTTCTTAAACTTTAATTAAAAGTAAAATTGATATTGAAGATTTAAGTAACGTTTAGTCCTCAATCATTGAAGGGAAAAAAGAGGGTCACATTATCAGTTAATTATATTAGGTAGATAATTGGAATAAAAGGCAAGATAGTTCAGGCAGAAACAATCTTAATCTATTAATTTAATTAACTAATAATTAAGTCCAATTAAGGAAAATGTGAAGTAGATTAGAGAGAAATTAAAGATTTGTCTTGTGAAAAGATAATTAATCTTAACATTAATGATCTTCAATTTATCTCTCAAATTATTATATTTTAGGACCTAATGACTGATTATAAGTGTAACAATAAGTTATAACTTTTTATTTTTAATTTTTTAACTAAAGTGTTTGGATTGGCTTATGTGCACCTCGAGTAATCATCGGAGAGATTAGCGCAACAACCCACCATCACGATCTTCTATTTAAATCGTGTATGCTCAGATGAAAAATCGAACTTGAGACCGTATGCTTATCTACATTATCCTCAATTCACCATAACTATTTGGACTACCCACGGATGGAATAAGTTAAAACTTACTAATATATCAAATTTTCAATTTTATTTTATTTTTAATATATCTAAATATGAATATATTAACCTGATTAATTTGCAATGTAATGTCGAAACTTAAGCATCAAATATGAATAAATTTCATGTGTCCATGAACCCAAATCATTATACATTGATAAAGTTTTAAAGCTAGCTCTAATTTCAATGCCATAGTACAATGAATTTATTATTTTTCAAGGTTCAGTATATTGTATACATTCAGTAATTCCTTAAATTCTCTCCCATATTCTTTTTCTTTATTTTTTTCCAAATAAGAGACAGGAAAGAAAAATGAAAAAAAAAAAAAAAATTCAAAATGAAAGGTTTCCATTGTCTAATGGATAGGATAGAGAAACCATCGGTCGAACTGTCGAATCGGAATAATTGGATTCTATCATATTCATATAGTTTTATATCGATTAAGTTCACGAGTTGGAGATAAGTTGACTCGAACAGTTGACATCTGCCACAAGGTAAACTACCGCCTCTCAAGCCCCCACTGATTTTACCATAGAGACCAACGATAAATTGGCTATCAAAAACGTAGAAGAGGTAGATCTATTTGCTCGAGCCTATGAATATGAAGAACTTTTTTCGTAAAATCCTGGAGCTGAAGAATGAACACAAACTTCCCAAATGGGCTGGTCAAGTTATGGTGTGGATATCCGATGGGCCACAAATTTCCTTGCAGATTTGAACGCAAACCCATTTCGGTAAGTGGGCTCAAAAACCCAACTTTTTTTCTGGATTTCTATGAAGCCCATTTCTATAATGTTAGGCCAGATTTCTGGCAAATATTGAACTCCGAGATGGGTTTATTTGTTGTTATGTGTTTTGTTTTGGACTGGATTTTATACACCAAAATGGCAAGGATGAGAGAGCCCACAGCCCGATATTTTATTCTCTTTAGGAGTACTCACAATTCATGGATTCACACATTTGTATTCCATTAACCCATTATATTATTCATATATTGAATCAGTAATATTATCTTTAATTTCTTTAATATAAGTTTTGATGAAACCTTTCAGAGTTGTTTCTTGGATACTTCTTCTTTTTTCCTTCTTCAAAATCTTATAATTTAATACTAGATAGTGGATTTGTTAGTTCTTGGATACTTCTTATTTTTTTCTTCTTCAAAATCTTATAATTTGATGATTTATGGATCAAAAGTGATAAACTTGAGAATTTTAAGATAAGAAAATAAAAAAAATAAAAAATGGATGGTCCCATAGTGGGATGATTCGATAAAGAGAGTGTATAACACAAATACTAAACAATGAACATTAAAAATATTGTTTGGTTGAAGAATAGAAGAAACATTTAAAGAAGAAAAATTAAAGGAAAGCATATGGTTGATGATTAAATCAATAAAAGAGAGAGAGACAGAGAGATAGAGAGAGAGAGAGATCAGGAGGTGAAGCAAGGGCACATGGGAACAGGAGGGCATGTGGAGAAGATTCAGAAAGCTTTCTTCTTTAATAAATATTGAGGTGAGCACCAAGGAATAACATGGATCCACCCTATTCTAAAGGGGGTACCCTTAAAACTTAAATTCCGATAAGGGCATGTGAAGAGCTTGTTGTAGGGCAGGCTAAAGCAGTCCATGTAGGACCCATTTTCATAACCCTCTCGTTTTACAAAACACAAAAACAAAAACACCCACAACACTTTCTTTTTCTTTCTTCCTTTCCCTCTTTCACCACAAAAATATTATATGGAGAGGGTGGTTGTGGTGGTGGTGGGGGATGGGGGTTTCATTTTCAATATATCAATATCAACATCAAATTCCCTTAGATACACTATACACTAGAAAAGTGAAATCAACCTTCAACAATGGATATTTGTCACATATTTTTTCCATACATATATCTAAAGTTTCATTATGAAAGAGAGCTATAGACCTATGTTTTCACCCAAGTATTGGATGCCAAAACTTGGNCAAGGAATAACATGGATCCACCCTATTCTAAAGGGGGTACCCTTAAAACTTAAATTCCGATAAGGGCATGTGAAGAGCTTGTTGTAGGACAGGCTAAAGCAGTCCATGTAGGACCCATTTTCATAACCCTCTCGTTTTACAAAACACAAAAACAAAAACACCCACAACACTTTCTTTTTCTTTCTTCCTTTCCCTCTTTCACCACAAAAAAATATTATATGGAGAGGGTGGTTGTGGTGGTGGTGGGGGATGGGGGTTTCATTTTCAATATATCAATATCAACATCAAATTCCCTTAGATACACTATACACTAGAAAAGTGAAATCAACCTTCAACAATGGATATTTGTCATATTTTTTCCATTCATATATCTAAAGTTTCATTATGAAAGAGAGCTATAGACCTATGTTTTCACCCAAGTATTGGATGCCAAAACTTGGAGAGATACCCCTATGTGTATTCATTATAATTGAGGAATCTTCACCTCATCTCTCACCTTATAATTTATAAACTATCTAGCTTTTCAGCTTAGCTATCTAGCTAATTATTAATGGCTATAGCACAAAGAGAATTTATGAGACTACCCTCTTATCTTATTTATACATATATATAAATGTGTCCTATTTTAATATCTTTTGTTCCTTTCATGTAGAAAAGGACACCAAATCTTTTATATGTTCCTGAGTATTTCATTTTACGAATATCGAACTCGTAGATTTTTATTAGACAAATATATTGATAAAGTGATGATACATTTGATATAACTGATATAGGTACATTTTTCTAGATGACATAAGCAACATTTCACTGCATATGAAAATGATGTTTGAAATTGATGGGGGCTAAAGAAAGCTGAAAATGATAAAGTGAATAATGCATAACATGAAAGTACTAATCTAAAGAGATATGCATATTTATATATAATACAAAATAACCAAAATTCTCCAGCCAATATGGCCAGACTCAGCATTAATAAAGTAATTATAGTTTAATTAATAATGCATGAAATGGTCCACTACTATGTAGAGATTAATGTTTATAGAATGAGAGAGAGAGAGAGAGAGAGAGAGAGAGAGAGAGAGAGAGAGAGAGCGACATGTAATGCAATAGTCTATTATTTTCTTCCCTTGGATTCTGGATTTTCATGTTGCCAGGTTTCCTCGTCACACATGGCCTGTGCCTCCTCTTTGTGAGAATGGATTTAATGGCAACTAAGAATAGCTAAGAAGGATTATCTTTTTTTAATACCCTCTTCCTTCTCCTACTCCTTCCTCTTTTGACACCTAATCCAATTCAATACATCTTCTGTCGTCGGTTATGTTAACAAAATAATCGTGTTGGAATTTACCTTTCAATTTCAGCATTTTGATGAAATGATCAGAGTAATAGTTATCTTTCTTCACTCGAAATACGACATATGATGTGAGAGTTAGTCAACTTCTTAAATTTTTGGTTCAAATCGTTACTTAAATGGGTTATTTTTTTTCCCTGGAGGATATATATAATACTGTTGGCAGATGATGAGAAGCAATAGTATTAGAGGGTTAATTAATATAATTAATCTGAGCCAGTAACAGTGTGTAATTGTGGATGAGAAGTGAAAGAATTCCAATCATGAAGAAGAATAAACTAAACTTTGTTTTAATTTTTATTGCAATTTGTGTGCCAAACATGTGTGCATGAAAGAGACAGACTCCATATCAAAGGATGGGTCCAGGAAAGCTCCTCTCTGTGATATATTACACAATTTGCACCTCTCTTTCTCTCTTAAAATCTCTCTCTCTCTTTCTCTCTGTCTCTCAACCTCAAAATCGCTGTCTTGCAGTCTCTGCACCCATCATCCCTCTATATGTCCTCTTCCTATAACCTGTCACACCATCAAACTCAGTCCATAATACACTCTCAATAACATCTCTCCCCTTATATTTTTTTGCCAAGCCCCTCTCATCAACTCAATCTCAATCTCTCTCAAGGGGATGTCTCTTTTTTAGTTCCTTTGCATTTGACACATGGCCTTCCCTCCTCAGCATAGTTTCATGTTCCAATCCCATGAAGACTCTCATGACCATCTCCCTTCTCCAGCCTCCCTCAGTTCCCTCCCCTCTTGCCCTCCTCAATTCTTCCATGGTATATATAAACATTCGGATATATTTATATGTATACTTTTGTTTATCTGTTATGTGATGTATGACAGTTTCTGTCAAATTCATCGGTGCTTATCCTATTTCGCTGCGTCAGTTATATGTTTATGTTTTTGCGTGTTTCTATATGAATATGTGTTTGTGTTGCGGTGTAGGTGCACCGTTTATGATGAAGAGATCGATGTCGTTTTCTGGGGTTGACAAGTGTGAAGATGTGCATGGAGACGAAGACTTGTCTGATGACGGATCACAGATGGGGGAGAAGAAGAAGAGGCTCAACTTGGAGCAAGTTAAGGCTCTAGAGAAGAGCTTTGAGTTGGGAAACAAGCTTGAACCTGAGAGGAAAATGCAGCTGGCTAGGGCTTTAGGCCTGCAACCAAGACAGATAGCTATCTGGTTTCAGAATAGGAGGGCTAGATGGAAGACTAAACAGTTGGAGAAAGATTATGAAGTTTTGAAGAAACAGTTTGAAGCTCTCAAGGCCGATAATGATGCCCTTCAATCTCAGAACAAGAAGCTTCATGCGGAGGTAATAACAAACTTTTATTTATATAAAAGAATGTTTGATCTGGGCATGTTTAATTTTCATAAACAGTAACTGTGTTTCATCCTCTTGATCTTTTGTTATTTTAAAATTCTGAGTTTTGGCATCGTGATCACAAGAGAGAACACCTTAATTCTTTTATGGTTGAGCTCATGATCCAACATAGATGAGCTGATGATTAATAAATAATTTGAAAAAGTTTATTATGTTCATTAGTTTAGTAATTTTTCTTGATTAGTTGATCATAAGTTTGAGGTGTCAGGTGCCAGAACTGCTTTGCAGGAACATAATTATTTTAATCTTAGCAGCTCTCGAGCAGACATAGTTGCAAGTATTTAATTACAAATTTGATTTGAACTCTTCTCTTCATTGGAAGAACATCAAGTTGGGATCCAAATTTTTTTTTTTTTTCCTTTTCTATTATTCCATGATGTTTAATATTCGATTGCTTGATTTTAATGATACAGTTACTTTCTCTGAAAAAGAAAGGTCCAAATGAAGTTAATCTTAAGAAAGAAACTGAAGGGTCATGGAGCAATGGTAGTGACAATAGTTCTGATGTCAACTTAGATATCTCAAGAACACCAGTAATAACCAGTCCAGCGTCTTCTCATTTAAGCAGCAAACAACTCTTTCCCTCATCAATTAGGCCAACAAACATGACTCAACTTCTCCATCAAGGCTCAGCAAGACCAGACCTTCAGTGCCTAAAAATGGATCAAATCGTTCAAGAGGAAAACTTCAGCAACATGTTCAATGGAATTGAAGAGCAGCAAGGGTTCTGGCAATGGTCTGAGCAACAAAATTTCCATTAAACCAAGTCATGTCATGTCATGTCACGTCTCAGAAAAAAAACTCAATACATAACAACCATTACTTGATGATTCAGCTATGGCTTAGTGAGGTTATTAAGAGGAAAATTAGAAGTTGTCCTCATGAATTTCAGTTCATGTATGGGTAATAGATCATTATAAATGGTGTATAGAACTGAACATATTGGGCTGAAAATCAGTATGGGGAATAGGTTGGCTACGAATAATACACTTTTTCCTTCCCATACATTGATGAATTGTGATACATTTGCTAGGTTGGATCATAGTATAATTTTTATTTTATTTTATTTTTCTTATTTTTGAATAAGGTACATGTGCCAGTGAGTGGTTTTCCAGCTCTGGCATGTAGCATGGGCCCTGAAATAAAAAAAGGGATTCTCTCAAAACATTGTTTAAATCTTTTAATTGTTGTTGGTGCTTTGGAATCATGAGTTTACTTTAAAAAATTGCATGGAAGTGCTTTGGAGAAAGTTGAAGTAATGAGATGCAAAAAATAGGCTGACTTCATAAATCAGTGAGCAAATCTAGTTGGGAGATAAAATGAAAGTATCAAAAAATCAAAAAAGAAGAGGTGGTGCGAGATTCTGAACACACATTCCAAGAGGAAAGCTGCCAAGGAGACGGTTGGAGAAGAGAACAAATAGAGAGGTTAAGAAATGGCCATTTTTTTTTTGTGCTTTGGTTTTTGCAAGAGTAACTTTTGTATATTTTTAATCTGACATGAGAAAGTATCTAACTGTGCAGCCCTCTCTGTGGGATATCCATGTGACCTACTGTCACCAGTTCTCTATCATTCATCAAATCACCTCTGTCTCTCTCTCTACGTCTCAGTCATTTTTTCATATCTCATTCATTATTTTCCGTGTCTAGCTAGCCATGGTTTCATTCAAAACAGACTCAGAATTTAATGTAATCTGTAACCACCAACACAGATGGGGAAATTATATTATAAAAAACACACAAGTAATTTTATTTATTTATTTATTTTTTTTTTTTAAATTGTGTTGTTGCAGGATCATTTTCATTCTATAAGATTTTTGAGATAATAAAGTTAAAATAGATTAAACGAGATTGTCAAATCTATTGATATAAAATTCTAACTATACACCTATATATATTTCTGCTGTGAGAATGAAACAAGAAGATTTCCTAATGAAAAGCAAGATGATGAGTAATCCTTTTTTATTACACAGAAGGGAGGTAATGAAATGATGTTTAATCTCTTTAAGAAATCCCAATTAATGTTGACATTGACCTTAGGAAGTTATGACAGTATAATTGATTAGTATATTTACTGGTAGATTTAATTATTATATATAATAATACAAAAGGATCATCAAATTAAAATAAGCAAAATTCTTGGCATGTTTGTGATCATAATTACAAGAATATCAAGGGAGGGGATGTGGGGGTATCAAGAATCCAATTTGTATATGTGAATAATTTGTGGAAGACTAGTGCAGGTCACATGATTGAGAGATTGGTAAACTATCATAATCTTAAAATAGAAACAAAAAGATCTCTCTTCATAAAGATTTAACTTTCATTTCAAGGACGAATCTATCAGTTTTCCTCGTTTCAATCCAAGCAAATACACGTTTCCTGGGTTTATGTTTTGGCTTTTACAGCACTGTATCTGTAATGGAACTATTCAACCTATCAGTTTATATATATTTTAGATGTAGCAAAATTGATCGATACTTCTCATGTTTCCGAAACGATTACTCAAACTTGTCCTACATCAGTCGCCAGGGCTCTCGAGTGCCTTCATTGATGGAAAATAGTTTTTCTTTGAATGAGGTAGAATGATAGTTTCAACAATTTTTATTATCTGCTAATAAGATCCCAGTTGGATCCTATCACAGCATGTTGGGATCCCACATAACATTCTTTAAAATTTAAGCATTCGCTGGCTTAAATAATCTACTGTTATTCGTTATTTAACTTACATAATTTTACACCCTGTGGCACTTATCCACAGCAGATTTAAATACGGTCACCTTGTAGCAATTTGATTCCCTTTGTTCCCTTCCTCCAGGTTTTTACCTTCAATTATGAATTAACTGTTGTAATAAGAGAGTTGAAAAGAACATGAAAAAACTTCTATGGTCCATTATATTATTGTAATAATCTCTGCAGAGGACAAGAGACAGGTGACAGGTGTACTAAGTACTAACAGCAGAATTTCTTTTTGTTTTTCACTTACTGTTACTGTTTGTATGTAGCTTACCATGTCTGCAAAGAAAGGTCACTTCTACTTCTACATTCATGTGCAAAATAATTCATTTCCATCAATTATTACTAGATGGTGGTTGGTTGATAATACTTTCTCTGAGAAAGTTCAAACCAGTTGCTTCAATTGTCTCTGTTGTACTGTATACATAATAATTTGCATTTTATGGTCATTCTATAAACAATGATCGTCTTCTGATACAACGTCTCATGAGTTTTTAAAAATCTTATTACAACTGTATAATATTAGTGATGATATTTCTGTAAGTTAAAAATCAAATAAGGAGAGGACCCTGATGTCGATGATATTATCAATCATCAGGATGAAATTAGTACTTAACACACGTTTGAATGACGATAAATTTTTTAGCTGCGTAACAACTAAGTTATCTTTTCAGAATTGTCAGTTCTTCTGGTATAAGGATCAGGCTATCCATCTTCATGAAAGATCGATCAGCTTCTTCAGGAGCTGCAACATTATCTCAAAGATTTAAAGGTCTCAGTCCAAAGATTTGTTCAACAGCAATTTGTCATTTAGAGGTCAGGCTTCTGAGATTCGATTTAAGTCCATGGCACTTTGTCAAATTCATTGTATCAGCAAGAAAAAGAATGCAAACCAGTTGATTTTAAGATTATCCATGTACTGTATCAGAAGCCCAATATCCGAAATTGAGGCCCAACCCAGTTCAAACTATAATGATTCTTTAACCATCACTACATGCTTCTTCTTCACAATGTTGCTCCCTCTCTGCATTCATAATTCACCACCTTAACCACACCAACGTCATCCTCTTCTCCCTCAAGCTCTCTGTTCACGGACGTAGTTAGGACTTCAATCTGCGAGAGACAGAATTTCAACCATAAAAATTCATAAATTGTAATAAAAATAATAACTTCGTTAATACTCAATCATATTTGTTTGTTCTCCATAAAGTTATGTTTAAAGCATTTTAGAATTTAATAAGGAGCCCCTTCTTGTCCAGTTGTCCCCTCTTCCTCCCTTGTCGATGCACCTGAAAATTTGTTTTAAATAAGAGAAGTGCCAGTCTGCAACACAGGAAAATCTTGACTTCATGAACAGGATCATGGTTTGCCTGATCAACAAGCTGCAAGTTCAGGTTCAGGTTCAGTTTCAGTTCAACAAGAAGAATAATATGGCATCTGAAAGACAAGGTTTCTGGCCATATTCATAACCAATGAATGTAAAAGTCAGTTCAGACATTAAAATGTTAACAATTCTCAAATACAGTTGGCCATATCTAAATTCTGTATGGGAAAAATTGATGATAGTTGGTAGATTTTCCCTTTGTGTTCATACAAAGTTTCCAACTTACATTAACTAACAGTCTAAAAGCTGCATATCTGTACACTCATATCAATTAATTCTATGGAGAATCAACTCTTTCCTTTGCTAATTATAGTTTTATTAACTTATTTTCTACATAATAATTCTTTTATTTTTTCATACTTTCTTTAGTATAAAATTAAATTTTTTATGCCTTTTTCCTTTTAACTTTCTAATTTGGAAATTCTTATTTTTAGGCCTGGATGTAAGTTTATTACTATTATATAAATAACAGTCAATTTGGTCAATAAAATAAAGATAATTATATATTAAATTCTGGTTTAAAGCATGTGTTTTGGATTATTGCATTCAGATTTTCTCCCTTTTTAGCACCTAAAAAGCTGGCTAATTTTTTAATTATGGATAATGTAAAATCTGAAACAATAAAATAATGAAATCCGAAATAAAATAAAACTAAAACCGGGCATATAAACGACAAAAGAACAACCTTGGTTTTGTAACACAAACTCACAAATAGCCAACCAAAGTAGCGAAATTCAAGCTCTCACTGCCTGTTGTTCCTTGTTTTTACTCAACTCAACTCGCTCCTTTTCACGCATGTAACGCACGTTTCTCTTTTTTTCTGATTCATTTTTCTGCTTCCATTTCTTGCCCTTTCAAATCTTTAATCCAACCTCGTGTGCACATATGTTTCTGTAACTTTGCACTGCGTGTGGGTTGGCTTATGTAATGTGTTTGTGTGTGTGTCTGTTTTTGTTTGGTCAGCTCAAATATAACTGACAAATTTGTACTGCATTATTTGCTGTATACTATTCAGTTTCTGGGGCTTTGTCTTTAGGCTCTCAGTTGTGTATTTCTCTCTGTGCCACTGCTTTCTGTTTAGTCTCAATGTTGGTTATTTTGATTTGCATGCTGTTTCTCTGATCTGGGTTTGAGTTCTTTTGTTTAAAAATGAAGGCTTTTCAGTTTTGATAAGGCCGTGTTTTAGAAATTTTGTTCATTTTTTTTTTTTTTTTTTTTTTTTTTTTTTTTTTTTTTTTTGGTTTTGTTGTAGTTGCTAATCTATTTTGTTTTTGTTTGTGTACGAATGAAGCGAATACGAGAGGATCTTTTCGGTGGGAGTGCACAATTTAACCGGCCCTTAGCTCCTTCTCGCGGGGAATCGTAAGTTTTTTCTNTGGAGTCTAGGGCTTTGAGAAGTTTTGCTTGGATGGAATCTGGATTAAATCGTCTACGACCAGCTAAACGTTTAAGATTCATGGAGTTGTTAGATTAATTAATAGAGATATGAGTTTGATACATGAACTCTGAGTCAAAGTCTTCTAATTAGACATACATTCATGATTGAAATAGACTAAGAAGAATACATTAACTTCAAACAATAATAACGAAATAAAACTGGTTCAAGTCTAGGAAATGGTTTCGGAATTAATGCGTGTACACGTTGAGTGTAAAAGTCATCCGTGCTGATTGAAGTACTATTATTGTGCCTGTCTTATTGTAGACTTTCATTTCAGAAAGGAAGTTAAATCTTTATGAAAAAACCCTTTTAGAAAAGTTGCAGGAAAAGAAGAGGACAAAGTATATATTACTAAATAATTTTTGGAGCAGAAACGATGAAGTACAACAATATTATTGGCCTTGATTACAATGCTTGATTCAGCACCTGGTGCTACAGACAGAAACTTGATGATTTTCTATACTTAATTGGTCTTGAACCCATGTAATGGAAAACAGAGTAAAAAAGAAATTCATGCTTAACAAAAGAAAAAAGATACAAAACAAAAGAAACGAGGAAATGTAGGCTAAATATCA